TAACCCACCACGACCGGATGAGCCATCTTCACTTTCGACGTCTGTTCCTTTGGCCAAAAGGTGGACTTTCACCGGAGGCCTGTCCCCATTCCATCCATGGAATAGTCCACGGTCCCATGGACGGGCCAGGGACCGTGCCATGGGTGTTTCATGATGGTCAATGTAATATAACTAACATATTCCATGACTCTTCCATACCCAACCACCCAAATGCATGGACTATTGACCTCCATGTGATCCCTCGGGTCAGCCACTCCTGCCAGCCATTTTCTCGGCACATCTCGTCCGATCCACCGGTTCCCCGACCCTCGAAACGCTCCTGCAGGACGTCCCTCAAAGGAGCACCGCCCTCGACAATTCGAGAGCCCAGCTGTCGGATTAAGCCTCACGACACGCCGAGCCGAGCGCCGACGCGCCGAGCTGCGAAGCACCACGCGCCACCGCGGCGAGCTAGGAGTGTTCCAACCGTGCTTTTCGAAGTGTCAACGGAATGGCCAAGGAGTAGATTCAATCAAGTAGGTCTATATATATTATATAGGTTTCCTAGGTGTTTCAATAGCCTTGTTAGCGTGGACTCTTTGGCCGACACTCGAAAACATGGTCGACCTTGGAGCCCAAACAGGATGTTTTCGTGGCACTTCCGGCTTCATCGCCACCTACTTGGCCCTGGATGGTCGAGCCAACGCACGTCTGACACCTTTTCGAGCACAGTGGACCTGTCATGTTTCCAGCCGTCACGGATCTCATAGATCTCATATCTAAGCTTCTCCAACGTATGGACCTTTTGCATACATATGGCCTCAAGTAGGGCTTGATCCACGCTTCGTTTGGGTCAGCCGGTCCGACCCCCCGTCCATCGGATTCCGAGTTCATCCGCCGTTCTGGGCCCGTCGACGTCGAACCGTTCCGTCCGTGCCGAAGCGGCCACTGAAATGATCTGAGACTATGTAACCAAAAAGCTACGAAAGGAACCAAGGGCATCGGAACGAACGTATATAGATCCTGGCACTAACCAAGAAGCTACGTAAGTAACAAGTGCGAGTCTGAACAAACATGAGACTGGCAAGGTGTACTATTTCGCAAATGGAGAACACATGGAACCTGAGAAGAACGACCGGTGGTCGAACGACCATGCCATCCGAAGACCAACCCAATGGTTTTGGAACTCCATGTTAATCTGCAGGGGAGTACTATTTCCAAGTTCGTTCTCCGCGAAGAGGCCTTGTGCGAAAGAGAGGAAGAGCCGTCGCAGATATCATGCGGGAATCACAGATGTATCATGTTGTGCTAAGATGTGTGTGTTTGTTTCCACTTTCTTTCAGTCTGGCAGTCTTTCTTATACGTATTATCTCTATTAGGTTTTCCTTCGCATCCGATATCCTCACGACAATCCGCGCTCTTCGATCCCTAACATCTCCCTCCGTGGCCGCGACCACTTCGTTACTTCGTTGTTTGATCAGACAAAAATCCCTCTGCTGCACCCGCTAGCTGTGAGGTTCCCGAGGTTCCTCCAAATGTCGGAGACCGCACCTGGGTTGCCCTCCAGCGGTTGGAGGATTTGGCTTCCCACTAGAAGCCTCAACCGCACGGTGCACCGGTGCGCTCTGCGAGCATGGCTCCCACGAAGGTGATCCCGGTCAAATATCAGGGCAGAATCCCAGTATCGAAGGATATCGAAGGGGTAAAAGATGGTCAATGTATATGTAACATGTTAGTGTATGTAACATTTATGTATGCATGTAACATATATAGCTGTAACTATATACAATATTCCATACCACTGGTTCTTCCAACTGACCGAACTTGATATCCCCAGCAACTGATCGTCAACCAATATAGGCCGACGTAAGTTCCGACTCAGCTCCTGGACGTCCCGACGTCACGAACGGCTCAGGTCCTGGTTGCCTGTCCTTACCGGGTTAGCTTGGTCCACAGCCGATCCCTGACATCGATTCCAAGTAGGGCTGAGGGCTGAAGGCTGAGGGCTTGGAGATGACTGAAGAGAGAGTACGACCTAAGGATGCCTAAGAGTTGTTGGAGGTGGAATCGAAGAAGAAATCCTTGAACTTCAATGCACCGAATCCCATCACCCCCACTGACCCTCAGAGCCCTCTTCTGCTTGGCACCACCAACCGGGACGTGAAACGCGTCGCTTTGTGTGCCGCAGGCGCTTGGCCACTTCTCGATTCTCCCGCAGCTGAGCTCGGGCCCGGCCCTGCGAACAAAACAACATGTTGCCCAAGAACATGTTGGCATGAAAAGAACTACCCTAGCAAATAAGACAATCATGACCATTTTTAAAGTTTGAGACTCCAGGTGCACATGTGAGAAACAACAGGTGGAATGGTGGGTTGACCAAATGTCTTTCAAGGAACAAGTTGAATATATCCCAAACACTCTGTGGGACTGGCATATTTACCTGCATTAGGGTGGTTGGAGGGGGGTCAATGTGGGCGTCTATGCCATACATGGAGTGTCTGCAGCAATGAGGAATCATATACAAAAGCAACCATCGATCACTACCAGGTAGGCAGTTAGATACAGGAAGAATGGATAAAAAACAGTATAAACCCCCAAAGGTCAAGGTGGTTGCAAATGTCCTGTCAACTAGTTGGAGACTTTTGATGCGATTCATTAATTGCAAAAATAAAAAGAATTAACAACATAATGTTGACTGTTTGACATCTCCACTGGGGGTCATTCATCAATAGTCGACAATACGGAAACACTCCATGTTACTGGCACATTTTCCTACATGTGAATGTATCCGATGGAGTGTTGAACAAGGTCGTAAACAACACCGATATGGATTGAAATCGAGCAAGCAAATCCCGTGTCGGCGGCTGACCGGGTCTGTTCCTTCCGCCACGCTGTGAAAAAAGAGCACCATTCACTTCACTCGTCTCCGGTCGACCAACACCAAACGTCCACCCCTCCGGGACCTCCGGATGCCCCCGCGCGCGTCCGTCCGCATCGCGCGTCCGTCCGTTGTCTCGAGCGGAGCGGGTCGGTGAGCGGACGCCCAGCGCCTCGGAGAGCGCCTCCAAGGGGAAGAGGTCGTGGGGTTCCAAGGGACGATGCACCCGGCGCAGCAGCAGCCGCACCGAGGTCGCGGGGTCTAAGCCGTGGAGACGGATCGTCCTGAGACGAAGTCGGCGGATGGGCGGACGTGGAGGGACCGGGAATTAAGGCGGTGGTTGCAGAGGTAACGAGCTGAAACTTGGCAGGGTGATTGGGAGGGCTGATGCGTGTTTTCTTTTCTTTTCAGTGGTTTGTTGTTAAAGAAGTGATTTTGGAGTGATGTTTGTTTGGTTCAGGTAGGCAGAGATTCGACTTGGTTCTGGTGACAGAGGGAGACTTGAGGAGACTTGAGGAGACTCGACAGACCGTCTGCACCATGAAAATCGCACCCAAACCCGGGACCCGACTCCACCATGCTCCAACAGGTCTCCAACCTAGACTGACCATGACTGACCTGGCAGGTGACCATGACTGGCCTGGTGGTCGACCAGGCAAGTCGGACTGGCAGGACCCGTCGAGCTGTTTCACAGTCCCGACTGGGCTCCAGTCGTACCGAACCTCAGGTTAGGTGCTTGGAGACACTGAGACATGTAGGTGCCAGGAGGGTCCAGTCGTACCTTCTGAGAAGGTATGTGGATCCCTAGGGAGTGTGTAGATGAGCCGATGAGAGTGATATCACATCCGGTCGATGAGAGTGGTGCGTGGCAGCTTGAACTCGTGCAAGAGTTAGTTGAAGGATGGAGGGGAAGTCCCTTGGGCCTTAGCTTGTTTTATTTGTTGTATCAATACTCCAGAGATCTCCAGACCATGGAATCAGTTGGAATCCAGTCAGATCCGGTGAGCGAAAGGCTTGTCTTTAAATCACTCTTCTGCTTACACGATGACATTCTTCCGCCCCGCCCGAACCACCCCCTTCGAACCCGTCGACTGAACCGTCCACTCTGCCAGAAGGCCGAGGCACACCACCTTACTGCAGCCCAATTCCTGCAGGCCCTGAGCTTCTCGAGCTTCGCTCGTGCCCTCGTCGCTCGCGTGGGACGTGCCCAGCAGGAGTCTCAGCTTATGGGTCTTGCGGAGCACTTCGGCCAGCAGACCTGGAACGAGCGCAGACCGTGTGCAGGTTTGAAAACAAGACCTCCGATATGCTGGGACAGAGGTCGTTCTGTGATCTTCATATACGATGATTGGTTTGCTTTGACTGAACTCGCTCTTTGTGAGGTATATAGACCTCCGCCCCAAATAGTGTGACAACAGCATCATCACATCCACCGGAGTTCCCCACCCACATTGCTGGCTAGATCTGCACACATCATGTTTGTAGCATGTGCGTTTCACCCCAAGAATGGCCAAATTTCAACTGAGCACATGAGCAAAAAAGCTCCCACCGAGCTCCAGCCCCAGAAGATTGGAGACGTTTTCCAAAGCAGGTGGGGACCGTCTCCGGCCTCGTAGGGACCTTCTCTCCAAAGCATTGCATTCGTCATCGATGACCAGCAGAATCGGAGCATTGCCGCGAAACCTCCGCGGAACCGCCGAACGGCGACCGAGATGGGGAACGCGGCGACCGGACGTGGGTAGGCGGGTCTACTGGGTGTTGTTGGGTACGTGAGTGGAGTGGTATACCAAGACCGGCGGAGTTGTTCGGGTGTGGGATGTTGTTTGGGTTGGGGAGATCCATCGAAGAAGAATCATCAAACAAATACCCAGACCATTCGCCGGACCGGAAAATGAGTGGAATATTACAGTGACCTATATGGTCACAAATGGTGTAAAATGGGTTAAATGTAATATACCTTAGGAGCCTGGTACCTTCAAATTCGTAGGTTCTTGAAAATACACGAGCTTTTCTTGAGAAAGTCGAGGTTTTCACAAAACACGATGTTTTCCCAGAACCAGCGACGCACAACAACATCTCAACAACCATCAACCACCCCTCCGCTTTCAACACCTCATGGCAAGGCCGCTGCAAATACACCTTTTCACTCTTTCAAGTAGCCTTGCTCACGAAAGTGCTTGTAGCACGCTTGTAAATTTCGTTGAAGTACTCTAAGTACCACTTGACCAGCTGCGACACGCCTAGCCAATCTGCTGCACCTTCCGACCCAGTCCTCGTGGATCTGTACCGAGTGACACAACGGAGAGAGGAACCACTCAGCATGTGGTGAAGACATCAGGAGAACCTTCAGGTCGTAGAAAATGTGGTGCATGCTGTGCCCCTTGGGCATATGTGGAAATAAATTTTTATCCTCGTTGTAAGCCATCGTTGCCAGGCAACTGTACCCTTCAAGAAACTGTAGTGCTGTAGTGCTCACGAATGTTGCGTCATTTCGTGAGAGCCACACGTCTCGAGAATAAAGCCTTTTCATGCAATGAGAAATGAGCAAGTTTGTCTCTTTGCACTTTGCTAGGAGGCGGTGATGCGACAAATCGTGTTGCTCGGCCCACCACATGAAAAAGTCAGAAAGGCTTCGGGTCAAGTGACCTTTGCTCCATTGGCCATTTGGGAAGCTTGAAGAGTCTGGCCAGCCAATTGTAGATCGGCTGATTCCCGAAAGGTAGCTCACAACATGATGCTCTGCACAAAAGGCAAAATAAAGTTCCGTAAGTTCTGCAAAACGAGCGTCCGCTTGCGATGCTTCCATCTGTTCGGAGGCTAGGGCAAGGCATCCAGCAACGAAACTTTTTCCAATCCCAAGATGGAACGTGTGGAATAAGTCATATGTATAAAAGCCAGGTTGCTCCTGTGGGACGTGCGGAATTGTATTCAGCGCAGGCCTTGGATTCCCAAATGGATCTTCCTCGTACATACTTCTGTACCATCTTGGTTCTGAATCTGCCCTGTAACCTTCCCAATCTATTCCTCTTTGGCCTGCGCGGCAAAGATGACATATCCCTTTGGGATTTGAATCCGCCGTCTGAGGTCTTTTCTGTACGTTGGCGTACGAGCGAACAAGGTTTCCAGCCTTCACGTGCCACTGCCAGTCACCTGTATTGTGCAAAATGCACATGGTGAAAGTACGGCCACTACGATCACGAACTCCTTGGAGAAGCATTTTCTTACATTCAGCTGCCACGAAATCCATGATGCTGAGAAAGGCCTCGTGGTCACCAAACATCTTGGGAAGAACTGCGAGCAAGATCCGGTGGCAAAACGGTGAGCCAACGTAGTTCAACATCATTCTGGCGTATTCTCTAGGCAACTCGCCCCTCTCACGTGCCAAATTTGCCTCCTGGGTGCCTAAGCCAAGGTACGAGTTGACACTGACCACGAGGAAACCGCTTTTCTTGCGGCCACGGCCCTCGTCTCCGTGGACCATCATGGGGCAGCAGCGTGTGAGGTCTAAGCGGCCACTGTCTGCCAACTTGAAGACTTCATGCGTTGGCTTGATAGCCCTGAATCTCTTCCAGAATTTGCTCAAAATCTTTTGCTCCCGGCGTGAATCAGCCTCCGCAAGTCCAACATGAATGTGCCACAGGTTCAAATCAACAAGCCATTGCGCCCAATCGCACAAAGATAGACCACGCATTTCGCCTGGATAGATCACCCCCGGTGCCTTTGGCAGGACTGTGAGTGGTATTGGAACAGACAAGTTGTATTTCTCTATGATTGAATGCACACCACGTTCTGAATGATCCTCCCTGCATGCAGCCAACTCAGAAAGTCCAGGGGAGCAATGCTTTGCAGACTCCCCAAAGTCTGAAACGAGACCTTTGGCCGTTCGGATGGCCGCCCTGCACGAAGTGGCCTTGGCCGGCCGCAAAGGTGGTGAGAAGCTGGGGTATATGCAGGATGGATGGGAATCACTGCTATTTCAAAAACACATGTGATGCATGTGCTTCGCTGAATGCAATCACTGAAGCAGGTTTGGCGTTCTTTTATATCACACGTGGCCAACCAATGCCATGCACACACAAGTGCACAAAGACCAAAACCGGACAAGATCAACAACATGTACAATTGCATGGGTGAGAAACTATGTCACAAGCTGTGAGCCCTTCCAAAATAGCGGCGTTTTGCCTTCATGCCAACAACCGGTGGCAAAGGCAGAGATGTATATCACTGCGTCCAGCTGGCCTTGAGCGGCCCAAAGGAACGGATGTGTGTGTGAATGTACAGAGACACTCTTCCAGCAACAATTGTTTTTTCTGAAATAAGAACGATGGGAAAAACAAAGCATGCGCATCAGAGACATTAGAAACTATGTAGAATCCACAGCCCCCATACTCTTGAACCATACAATGCGGTCTAGGGATATGGGAATTAGAGCCTGAAGAAATTTACATGTGACAACGGGCGTTCTTTCAGTGCCCGGCATTGGTGCAGCCTATGGATGGCGCTGCTTGCCAATAAATAGGCCTGCAGAAAGTGGCGTGTTCGAGCAGCCTTTCACTTGACACACATGCGCTTTATGTGTATCCCTTTTTGAATGTCTTTTGAAACGCTCTATGGTTTGAGATGAGATGACAAATTACTCAGCGACACCCAGCAAAGTGAAGTGCCTGCCAAATGCCACAGGCCATACCAATGGTTCTCGAGAAGCTGTGTGGGCACTGCTGGAGTCCTGCAGGCCGGATTTCGGGCTTGGGGGCCTGGAGGGATCTAAGCTGGCAGACGGAGGTGGCATGTCTTTGCATCTTTCAACGTTATAAAGGGATTGACAAAAACTGAGGATCTGACTTATATAAGGCAGTTCCCCATGCAATCAAAGAAGACACATGGCACGTCGAGGTGACTACATGCACAGAAACACGGCATGCCATATATGAAGATGCGAAGTGTTCTCACCCTCATAAAACAAGAAGGATCGAGTGATTGCGCTATCTTAATATTGTTTAATCTCTTATAAATAAGGTTTGCAGACAAAAAGCTGCGCGCGCGCAAGGTTGATTGCACGGCAGCAAAATGCAAGCAACTACTTATATTATATCTAAGATGAAGAAGGAAATATGAGTTCCTGGCCCCTTCTCCGATGTCACCAGACAGGACCCGCAAAGCTGCCCCAGCACCTGCCATGCACCATTATGCTGCATGCTGGTCGTATAACTTGCGAACGCAACAGCCACAATTTGCACATGCTGTTTGAATCCAAGCAAAGTTTGGCTTCCATCCGTGGTGTCTACAAGCCCGCCGCCCGTTTTCCACGCTTGTACCCCTAAAGCTTGTTTGGACTGCGCCCAATGCCCTTGAGCGACAGAAACTGGAAACGTTACTTTCTTTTCAAATTGACCTCGTGAGCACTGTTTGGCACACAGTCATTCTGCAGGGTCTAGCCTGTATGCTTCACACAGGGTTCCCACAGAGCCCATTGCAAGACACTCATGACAAAAGTTAAGCTACTTAGGCCTCCATACGCCTCAGCCGTTTTGGCCTGGACGCTGAGGAAGTAGCTCCTTCACCCTCGGTTCCATCAGCCTTTGCCTTCCCAGTCTTTTCTTTCTTATCCCGCTTCTTATCTTTCTTTTCCTTCTTCTCTTTTGCTTTCTCACTCCCCGGGTCCTTCTTCTCGTACTTCTTGGCGCTCCTGCAGTGCGCGCACCATAAACACGAAGACGGATTGGAGGGGAACGCCAAAAAAGTATATATCATCGTACTAAGCTGCTCTTGGGCGAGGACCGGATCTTCATTTCAAGACCCACGGCCTTTGAGCACCTACAAATGGGTACGTGTATATATAGGACCTTTTGATGTACGTGATGAGGCCATGAGGCTGCAAATGTATACTCTATATAAGCCCCGGACGTTTCAGTGGCCTTGTTCATTGCTTTTGTTGCTTTTTGGACAAACCTTGGAGCCACGCAGAGTATTGTTTGTGTAACTTGGAAAGCGATCACAAAGTATATACAGGCCAGCGACTCTGCGTTCCAATTGTTGATCTCACCATAGACTTGAACGGATTGACAAGAGTCATACTCGGAGTCCATCAACTTGAGTTGCTCACGCAACTTCGCCACATTCCTGCATATATACAAATTTATATATCGGGTTGTATACTCGTTGAGAGCACGTTTGCACAGCAATCCATTGAAACATATTTGAGGGGCCCACGAAGCTGTGCTGTCTGCGGAAGAGTACTGCTCTGAAAGCTCGCGAATGAGTCCGCGGATCTTTCCGCTTTTCTGAAGTAAGCTATCCAGAAAGCGCTTCAAGGCCAACTTCGTCTGCCACAAAAGGCAGAGAACAAAAGTCTGAAAAGAACTCAAAACTGAGAAACATAATTCCCCGCGTTCCCTGTTGTTTTGCATTTGCCAACCAGGCCTCAGCTTCCTGACCATTGTGTTTTGTACCAGGTTCTGCGGCGACAGCAGCCTGTCGTGCCTTCATTCGCTCTAAGCCATCCAAGGCCTTGTCGTCCAGCACGGGGCCATCAGTTACCTGGGCAATCCCACCCGTATATAATTGGCTCGTGAGACAAGATGACACCACAGATGAACCCAAAGAGTTTCTGCAAACATATTGTATAAAAGTGGGGGGCCTTCTCCAACTTACGGTGAATCTCTTCTTGAGTCTGCTCTTCATCTCGTAAGCCTTTCTCTCGAACCTTGACATAGTATTCCGTGACCCCATCGTAATCGTTCTCCCTGCGGAAGGCTGAATTGATAGTATGTGTTTATCTGACATTCTTTGTTTCAGGAAATGCATGTTTTGCAGACTGTAGTAAAAAATTACCATGGCCTGATGTGAGTGGCCCGCTTTGCTTCACAAGCCTTCTTGGCACCCGCAATGCGCGGCCTATAGGTGGAACATCACAAGGCAAGTTTGTCACGCTTTCAAAAAAGTGCGCCATATATACTGTTCACCATTCTAGAATCCCAGCTACGGTTTCCAACGTAGGTCATCACGCATCTCCTGCTCTGACACCCACATCTCCTCGATGGAAACTTTGATGGTGGCCTTCTTCCGCACTATGATCTCGAGCTGCGCAATAAACGATTCCTGCGTACTGGGGTGAAGAGGTATAGTACACATAGGACAGTTGCTTTGATGGCATGAACACGGAAACATGTTTTTTCCTTACTCCAGTTGTTCTCCATTAATAGTCTTGCCATCGACGTCTGATCATTGGAACGCCACTGCTCCACAACAAACTCTGGGACGTCCAGGGACCTTTTGGTCTTGTGCTTGGCGCACATCCGCCTGAGCCTGGCCTTGGCGGCCTCCACCAACAGGGCCTGACAAAACCCATGCCAAAAAAATATCCTGGGAAAGTTGTGAGGGTTGCCACATGCATCACTAGCGCAAACAGCAAAGCAGCGATTGCCAGGCTCCTGTCGGGTCTTCTTCTTCAGCTTGGAAGGTGGGACAGCAGCTTCCCGTTCGGCCTTATCATGTAAACGTATATCTTGCAGATGGTCTGTTTGTTTGGGTTGAACTTGTAAAGGACTATGGAGTTTTGCAAGTCTCCGGATTGAGTCACGGGCTGGAGTGGGTGCAGCTTCTGAACGGGTGGCCCGGGTGGGTGTTGCAACAGGTCGTGCAGCTTCCTCCACGTGATGGACAGGTTGTTATGATATACAAAGGAAACACAATTCTCCTTATCACCCGTTTGTTCCGGATGAAGTTCTCGAGGAGGAACATGGACTCCTTGAGCACGTAGTTCCTCATCCGTGCCCTGCCAATTCTTCCCCAGGATGTGAAACCAATGTGCCATACTAAAGTATATGCAACGACCTTTGAAGAAGGTGTCATGTGTGCATACTATCACAATTATACAAGCATAGACCCCAAACAGCTTCAAAACGATGCAACGATTCGTTTAAGACCAATATTAGTCAAAAAACGATTTCTTGGTTCGCCCTACTTTCACCCCAAGAGCAAACT